ACATGGAATCTAGACGAGGTTTGTGTCCCTCTTGGATCAAGAGGCTTTGCAAAGCCTCGCAACGAGGCTTCAAAAGCTTACAAAACTTAGCTAAACTGAAATACACGCTTATAAAACTTGGCTAAATTGAAGTACAAGTTTAAAAACAAGCTAAGTTGTAGTATAAGCTTAGAAGGTCCAGATCAAGCAAAGTTTCAGTGTGAGGTTATTAATCTCAGTACGAGCCAACAAAGCTTAAGTTGCAGTACCAGTTTAAAACCCTGATAGCCACTGAATCAGTTATGAACATGGAGAATATAACACTAGCCAGCAGCAGTATCACTTCTAGCTATAAACACATTAATAGGCACCAAATCTACCTCGTCATCCCGGCGAGCAACAAGTCCCGTTCATTATGATTCTCAAGTCATTTATTTTTTTTCCTGCCTTCTAATGTTGTTGTCGGGTCAACTGAGAGCCACCTTTCACTTGGTAAACACAGAGGCGCCCACTGCTAGTGATATGTCTTTCGTACTTTCCAATATTGTTTATGAAGCACTGTATAAAGAACCGCGAAGAACCTGCCTCGTCATGGTACTTTACGGCTGTCAAAATACATTAGGCTTAATTCAACTCCATCAGATTACCCCGCGCCAGTTAACTGGCGGGAGTGGGATGTTAATAGGTGTTGTGACAACTTTCCCACACCAAAACAACTGCACTTCATAGCTTTTCCACTCAGGCTCAGGATGGTATTGGAAGTAAACATCGTACAGATTAAAGACTAACCCACGCTGACGGGAGATTCATCTGTAAAAAGTTACATTTGTGGTCACAGTGGTGGCTCATGCTAACCTCCCTATGGTATATAGAAATATGTATACCTAGTTGGATGAATCTTATTGTAGCCAGCTGGCCCAGTGTCTTACGCACTGGCCTGAGTTTTTCCGACTCGCTTGCCATGGGTTCATACCCCACCTACTCAGTGGGTTGTTTGTAATTGTGTTATTACGATTTCGTGAATCATACAGCTTCTCCTCACGCGTCTAAAATCAAGCTCCAAAGAACACTATCACCGAAAATAATGGTTTCGGGAAAAAGCCAGTGGAACTAAGTTTTACTATTTGGCTTTATTGAGTATCCTGGGTTAATAACCCAAGTAGGTAGGCAGGAGTTAACTTGATTATTTCACTGTTAACCTTCCACTCCATCTGAACTGTGTGAAGGTTATGTATGGCAAGTGTTTGTGTGTTCTCAGTCACACCCACTTCTTGTTGGCTTGTAGATTTCGACTGTCATCGCCCCAGCGGCCCGGTCTCAGACTAGGCTTGCTGTCTAGCTAGTGATACTGTGTGGATATCTTCTGTATCCCTAAATTCTCTATTTAAGCCTTTTCTCATTGCAGTAGTGGCTTTTACCACCACCCTCACAACTACTACCATAACTACCCTTCACTACAACACCTACCAACACCCTCACTACAACTACCAACACCACCTACCAACACCCTCACAACACCTACCAGCACCCTCACAACACCTACCAACACCCTCACTACAACACCTACCAACACCCTCACTACAACACCTACCAACACCCTCACAACACCTACCAACACCCTCACTACACCTACCAACACCCTCACTACAACACCTACCAACACCCTCACTACAACACCTACCACCACCACCACCCTCACCAACACTACTACGACCCTCACTACCCCAACACCCACCCTGATAGAGTGCGCTCTCAGGGGTGTTAGTAAACACTCTCTTAGATTAGCCACTGGCTACATTAACCCCGTGGGATCCAAGACACATGTCTGGCCACTTTTGCTGCTGCTTGGCCTTCACTCTAATACAATAAAACATATGTTATAATTAACCAGCTCACAGCTCAAACAATACACAGTTTCAAGAGTAGGTATGATGGGATCCCAGAGGGCTTAGGTTAGACGTGACACAAAAGCTGTAGAGTACTACTGTACACCCAGAATACACTACCATGGTACACACTGAGTGCACTTGCATCAGAGTACATTACCGTGGTACACTATCATTATACACCCAGAGTACATTCTCACGGTACACCCAGGGTACACTACCATGGTGCACCCAGGATACATTACCATGGTGCATCCAGGATACATTACCATGGTGCATCCAGGATACATTACCATGGTGCATCCAGGATACATTACCATGGTGCATCCAGGTTACACTACCATGGTGCATCATGGGTACACTACCATGGCGCATCCAGGGCACACTACCATGGCGCATCCAGGGTACACTACCATGGCGCATCCAGGGTACACTACCATGGCGCATCCAGGGCACACTACCATGGCGCATCCAGGGTACACTACCATGGCGCATCCAGGGCACACTACCATGGCGCATCCAGGGTACACTACCATGGTGCATCCAGGGTACACTACCATGGTGCCTCCAGGGTACACTACCATGGTGCCTCCAGGGCACACTACCAAGGCGCATCCAGGGTACACTACCATGGTGCATCCAGGGCACACTACCATGGTGCCTCCAGGGCACACTACCATGGTGCCTCCAGGGTACACTGTCATGGCGCATCCAGGTTACACTACCATGGTGCACCCAGGGTACACTACCATGGTGCACCCAGGGTACACTACTATGGTGCACCCAGGGTACACTTCCTCCAGGCCAGACGTGCCGTTCAGACTTTAGTGTTGAGTGATTTATGCTTCTCCACACACCTCCCTCCCTCACCAGGACAGAGAGAGAGAGAGAGAGAGAAGAGAGAGAGAGAGAGAGAGAGAGAGAGAAGAGAGAGAGAGAGAGAGAGAGAGAGAGAGAGAGAGAAGAGAGAGAAGAGAGAGAGAGAGAGAGAGAGAGAGAGAGAGAGAGAGAGAGAGAGAGAGAGAGAGAGAGAGAGAGAGAGAGAGAGAGAGAGAGAGAGAGAGAGAGAGAGAGAGAAAGGAAGATTACGCAGCATATAACAAGTCTTCCTTCTGTCTTTTACATTAAGTCATTCAGTGAAAGGGAGTAAAAGACTATCAAAATTTGATTGCATCCTGTTATACGAGTGTGTAACGGAAGCCTGTTAAACGATTTGTACTCTGACAGCATTTTCCCATCAACAAATGTGTAAAATGACAGGTAAATCTTTCACACTTCTGCTTACATTCATTATACATTTATGTTTAATTTCCTGCGTGTTACTTAATGAGAAAAGATAAAGAAAACAAACAACAATAAAAGCAATACTAGGTGTTAGAAAAGCCTAGCTTGTACATTTTTTACAGTCAACCAATACATTGAAAACGAAACTGAGCGATGTTTCTGCCCATACCAGACCATTATCAGGTCTCGAGTGAGGGCGAAACATTGTCTAGCTTAATATTCAATTCGTGAGGTGAAGCAAAATAACCAGGGAGAAGTAAACCAGAGGAGTGTGAGAGGCGATGGTCATGTGTCACTGCATTTCAACAACACTCCTAACACTGGTGACTCTCCCTCCCTTCCTCTCTCTCCATAACACCCTCCCCTGGGTCACCTTACCCTGCAAGTTTATTTAGGCACAGGTACACATTATCATGTGGGGTTCGAACACGTGGATAGGGTAAAGAAATACTCACGTAGGCTGGAAGTACGTATATTACGGATAATGTGGGTAGCGCCAAACAGCCGTGACCTGCCTCCTTGCTCACTCTCGTCAGACTAACTAACCCCAGTACCCATACGTGAGGGGGTGTTTGAAATACTGCTGTGGTCAGTACAATATGAATACAGACAGTGATTCACGCAGAGACGGTTGGTAGTGAGTCATCTACTGGTACACTGGTTACTGGTAACTGGTACTACTACTGAGAACATAAAGTACAATTATCAGTATAAATTACCTAGGATAACCCAAAAAAAAGTCAGACTTATTTTCACTGGGATCCTTGGTGGCCCTCAGATATGCGCAGACTTAGTGCGTCTCATCTTTCTGCCTAAATAGCAGGGAGATTTCCCCTTTCGCTAAAATCTGCCGTAATCGCAACATTTTAAGTTAAATACGATAAGTACACGGTCTCGAGGCTTTTTATATCCTGCTAAATATCCAACGAATATCCTAAGACTTTCCACTAAAATTCTAAGGCTATCCTACTATCTTACGAACATCATATTAATATCTTACAAATATCTTAATTAATAACTATGAGTATCCTACTAATTTATTAGTATTATTATTATTATTATTAAAGCCCCTTTATGCGTGAGGGTATGTGAGGAAGAACGGGTGGGGGAGGTTAGGTGTGTGGTTGGGGAAATTAAGTGGGTGTTGGGGAGGTTAGGGAGTGGGGGTATGTGGGATAATGCCCGGGTTTACATGTTAGGAATATCGACTTGTAAATATGGCCAGCCATGTTAGGAAGAAATATCTCTGCGGGGGGATGTGGCTCTCTGGAGGCCCTGACTACTGATGGGTGTCCCTGATAAGCAGGACCTACCGTAAGCAGGACCCACCGTAAGTAGAACCCACCGTAAGCAGGACCCACCGTAAGTAGAACCCACCGTAAGTAGGACCCACCGTAAGCAGGACCCACCATCATTATCTTCACCTGCTTGATCCCTCACGTCAATGTACAAATAACAAACACCTGACATTAGCACCAGATCTATTTATTATTTGTTTTAATGACCCGGGAGATCATGGCCCCCGCGGCCTGGTCCCAGACCAGGTCTCCTGAACTCGAAATTCTCACGGGAACAAAAAAAAATATGAAGAAAGTCAAGATAATTGTATAGTGAGTGTACGTAGACATTTGTAAGATCTACTTGTCATCTTACACGGTCGTGAGAGAAGAAAACAACAACGCTGTCAGAGTGCAAAACGTTTAACAGGCTTCCGTTTCACACTCGCATGACAGGAGAGTATTTATTTTTTCATCGCTTAATGTTAATGTAAAAAAAAAAAACAGTAGAAAGATTTTTTCGTTATATGCAGGGTGATTACTCTCTCCGCAGCCTCTTCATTTCCCTGCTTACCTGGCTCAGCAGACGCTGTTTCAGAAGACACTGTCACAGCAGCCACTGTCTCAGGAGACACTGTCACAGCAGCCACTGTCTCAGGAGACACTGTCACAGGAGCTACTGTCTCAGGAGACACTGTCACAGCAGCTACTGTCTCAGGAGACACTGTCACAGCAGCCACTGTCTCAGGAGACACTGTCACAGCAGCCACTGTCTCAGGAGACACTGTCACAGTAGTCACTGTCTCAGCAGACATGCTCTGCTCTCCCTGAAACACAGAACACCAAGTAAGGATGGTCATTCTGTGGCAGGGTGAGGAAGGATAGGGAAGAGATAAAAGAGATAAGAGAGAAATAAGTAGGAAAGTGTTAATCAGGAAAGAGGTAAATAAAGACATTATTATTATTATTATTATTATTATTAGTAGTAGTAGTAGTAGTAGTAATAGTAATAGTAATAGTAGTAATAGTAGTAATAGTAGTAATAGTAGTAGTAGTAGTAGTAGTAGTAGTAGTAGTAGTAGTAGCAACATAAGAAATGTATTAATTTTATTATTATTATTTATTACATGTTTGCAGGAGCGCTAACCCGTAGAAGCCATACACACCGTACAATATCAAATGCCTTTTTGTAGTCCAGAAATATATAGTCCATCCAACTCTCTCACTTTTATCATCTAACCACAGAACTCCAGCAGGTTAATAAGACAAGATCTACAATCTCTAAACCCTTGCTGATTACCGTTTATGAAATCACTTCCTTCAGAGTACTCTACCACCCTTGTGATTATCTCCTCCATTATCTTACTAGCTATTCACGTCAGTGATACTGGCCTACAGTTCAACGCCAGCTTACGCACTGGCCTGGAGTTTTACGACTCACTCGCCATGAGTTTCAGCATCACCCGTTCCGTGGTTTGTCTCCTTTCTTAAATACAGATACTACATTCATTGTTTTCCAGATCTCTGACATTCGTTCTGTGTCCATCAACTTGTAGATTATAGGTGGTGATTCAGATAGTGCTTCTGCTCCCTCTGGCAGAATCCATTGTGACACCTAGTCAGGTCCCACTACCTTCAATGTATCCAACTCACTCATTTTTTTTTTTAATTTTCCTCTGCTGTATATATGTTTTCCAGCACTCTAAGATGTAACCTTTGCTCTAGGCTCTCTGGTATTGCCACAGTTTCCATTGAAAACATTTCTTTCAATCGTTTGCTCAACGCTTCACAGACTTCCTTGTCATTACTTGTGAGTTCTCCTCCTTCCTTCTTCAGTCAAATTACCTGGTCTTTTACTGTGGTCTAATGTGGCTGAGAAGTAGTTCTGACTCCGCCACTCTTAAACTGTTGCTCAGCTTCTCTCCTCAGCCTTGCATATTCATCTCTGGGTCATCTGTTCACTTCTCTGTTCTCCTCTGTCCTTCACTTCCTATAGTTTCCTAGTTCTTGCGCTCTTCGCTTCTTCCTCTCTGCATCTCTGTGTCAACCAAGGACTCTTTGTTTTTGTAATTACTCACCATTTTCTGGGTATGAATCTCTATCCCTCTCTTTGACGAAGGAAACTCCATCATGTTGCCATTCCTACCATACATGTGTTCCATAACACCAGCAGGTGAGGGTATGTGTACACAACAGATACAAACACTTACAAAACAGGTGTTGGCATAATGACAGGTGTCTGAAAAGAACAAGGCAGACGTAGTCTTGTGCACCAACAAGTAACAGGTGCAAATACAGGTACAAGGGCAAAAAACGGGTACAGGTGTAAGAACGCGAGGGGTAGTAGGCGTTTGGGCATTCAGCAAGGGAAAGCTAGCCGGGCCGTGGGCGTGTGGGCGAACAGAAGGGTAAAATTAACCAGATCGTGGGCGTGCAGAGGGGGTAAAGCTAGCAAGATTATTGGTGTGGGTATTCGGTAGGGTAAAACTAACGGAGGCGAGTGTGTAGGCGTGCACAGCAGCAAAAGTAGCCAGTTAATGGGCGTGTGAGCGTGTAGAGGGGCAAAATTCTACAGGTTGTGGGCGTGTGGGCGTGCAGAGGGGCAAAACTGTGCAGGTTGTGGGCGCGGGGCTGGGGCACCAGTCTTCCCTATAAGGCAGTGCATTTACAATTGGCCGCGGCTACCTCTCTACTTTCACCCCAGCACCCCAGCTGCCCGTGGTGTACCCGGCTGTACCCGGGCATCTCCTGTCTTACTCTCACCTGCTCCTCATGTACCATCCGTCTAGTGTACCCTTGTGGTTTTGGTATTGCATTCCAGGTACAAATGATGTAATGGATCCGCTGTACAAGTAGCTATGGTAATGTACCGTACAGGCGAAGGTGGTACGGTACATCTGGCATGCAACAACCTGCTCCTCTCTAGGCGGTGTGGGTTAGGTGAAGCTGCTCTCCACACTGCTGCATCACACCTCTGCCTTCACACCTGGTGCAGCTGTGTCTTGCTGTTCACAGCTGATGGTGCCCCCAGTTGCACCTTCTCCAGACTACAGTCTCAGTTGTAAGGTGTTTATCTGTGCTTTAAGTGTCGCCTGCCAGCGGTCAAGGGTCACTGTGCTTTCTCTCTATGATGGTAGAGGTGTGTGTGTACTCGCCTATTTGTACTCACCTATTTGTGGTTGCAGGGGTCGATTCATAGCTCCTGGCCCCGCCTCTTCACTGATTGCTACTAGGTCCTCTCTCTCCCCGCTCCATGAACTTTATCATACCTCGCCTTAAAACTATGTATGGTTCCCGACTCCACTACGTCACTTTCTAGGCTATTCCACGGCCTGACTACTCTATGACTGAAGAAATACTTCCTAACATCCCTTTGATTCATCTGAGTCTTCAACTTCCAATTGTGACCTCTTGTTTCTGTGTCCCATCTCTGGAACATACCGTCTTTGTCCACCTTGTCTATTCCGCGCAGTATTTTATATTCGTTATCATGTCTCCCCTGACCCTCCTGTCCTCCAGTGTCGTCAGGCCGATTTCCCTAAACCTTTCTTCGTAGGACAATCCCCTTAGCTCTGGGACTAGTCTTGTTGCAAACCTTTGCACTTTCTCTAATTTCTTGACGTGCTTGACCAGGTATGGATTCCAAACTGGTGCTGCATACTGCAATATGGGCCTGACGTAAATGGTATACAGAGTCTTGAACGATTCCTTACTGAGGTATCGGAATGCTATCCGTAGGTTTGCCAGACGCCCGTATGCTGCAGCAGTTATCTGATTGATGTGTGTGTGTGTGTGTGTGTGTGTGTGTGTGTGTGTGTGTGTGGTGTGTGTGGGGTGTGTGTGTGTGTGTGTGTGTGTGTACTCACCTAGTTGAGGTTGCAGGGTTCGAGTCCAAGCTCCTGGCCCCGCCTCTTCACTGGTCGCTACTAGGTCACTCTCCCTGAACCGTGAGCTTTATCATACCTGTGTGTGTGTGTGTGTGAGTGTATCTTTTATGTCAGGATCATGTTCCCCCTGGCCCTCCTCCAGTGTTAAGTACCACGTCGTAATCCTCTTAGTTCCAGCATTAATATCGTTGAAAAACCTTTTGATGTTCTCAAGTTTCTTTTTGTTTGACTAGGTGTGGGCTACATGCTGGTGCTGCATACTCCAAGTTGGATCTACCATAATCTTGTATAATGCTCTAAATTGAGTTCCTGAAAGCATATATGAAATTTATAGTTGAAAGGTATCTCTGGTGGTGTGTGATTCTCACTCCCAGATCCCAATGGTGCAATACTCGTGTAGTATATGCTTAACAATTTGAAAACAGGCAAAATTATTTACAGACATTATCTCTCAGTCCACAGTAGTATTCGAACCTCCAAACTCGGTATCAGAGAACACAGTACTTTACCACACAGCCACACTCCCGAACAAGTATGGGCACCTAGCCGAAATTAGACGGTCACTCCCTATATTCTGAAGCACTAGTCTTGTACCAAGATATTCCATTAAATCATGCTACATGCAGCTTCTGCTAGACACCCATACTTAGCCGGGAGTCTGGCTGTGTGGGAGAATACTGCTGTGTACTCAGATGCCGAGTTTACACAAATAACCCGCACATAAAAGACAGAAGCTTACGACGACGTTTCGGTCCGACTTGGACCATTGACAAAGTCACACTAACAGGGGAGGAGCAGGACGGCTATATATAGGCAGGAAGAGGTGGAGGTAGTAGTAGTGGTAGTAGTAGTAGTAGTAGTAGTAGTACAAGAATTGTATATAATACCGACAGGATGAAATGACACACGCACAACACCCGGGCATCCTCACCGTAGACGTTTCGCCATCCAGCCAGCCACTGGATGGCGAAACGCCCACAACAAAGACAACCAGACGCCGCACATGTGTCTAATTTCATCAGTAGTTGTAGTAGAAGAAGAAGAGGTAGTGGTAGTGGTAGAAGTGGGAAATAAGGAAGACGAGCCAGTCAAATACAAAGGAAGGGAGCACTGCAAGAGAGCTAGAAACCCACAGAGGGAGAGCAAGCGCACCGAGGTGCGTGAAAGGGAAGTGGTGAAATAAAATAAAGAAGGAACAGAAACACGAGACAGGAGAAGAGAAAGACAACCCAGAGGAGAAAAGGAGAGAGGAAAGGGGAAGAGGAAGAAGAAAAAGAAGAAGAAGAAGAAAAAGTGAGGAATCAGGTTAAGTCACGGGTGTTCTGAAGTTTGGAGCATTTTACAATGTAGTGGAGAGGAAGGCATCTACAGAGACGAAGCCAGGGGTAAGGTTCATACAAAGGAAGTTGTGTATAAGAGAGGATTCAACTAAA